CCCCAAAACCCCAAAACCCCAAAACCCCAAAACCCCAATAAGCTTGCAGACAGCTGAAATTTAGGAATTTATAAAAATTAATTCTTGTACGTGACAGAGTAGGAATTATGACCATTTATGGATTGTGAAGTCACTGATGTGAAGTTTGTTAATGGGATTTAGGGAGGAAATATGCTCTTCGCTGACTTTAAGGTCTGATTCGGGATAGGGCTTGATAGATTTGAGAGAGAAAGTTGAGAGATTTTTTGAGGAGAGGTCAGGAAGAGAAGGAAGTCGTTTAATCTCAGTAATGAGGATTGTGAAGATCATTTCTGTGCCTTCTCCATATATTGACTCAACATGAATTTCTCCTCCAAGCAGCTCTACATATTTCTTGCTTATTGTTAACCCCAAGCCACAACCATTTGGGTTCAGGTCTTCATTGTCTTCAAGAACACCAAACAGTTTAAACAGACACTCTTGGTCTTGCTCTTTGATGCCTGTTCCAGTGTCTTGAACTCTGAATTCCAAGTAATCAGAGCCGTCCAGAGACTTCACCATTCAAACTTTGATTTTAATGAATCCATTGAAAGTGAACTTGGATGAATTTGAGACCAAGTTCAGTAAGACTTGTCTGATTCTGTTGCAGTCAGTTCTGATTTCACAACTGTGCAAGGTGTCATCTCATTCTATGAGCAAGTCAACTCCCTTGTTTTCGCATTGTATTGTGAACAGAGAGTGCACTTCTTGGAGCAACTCTGGCACTTGAAAGAATTCAAGTTTGATAGTAAAAGTTCCATTATCTATTTTGGACAGATTTAGAATGTCTTCAACAAGTGCCATTAACAGCAAGGATGAAGTAGAGCCTGTCCTGATGAACTTCGAGATCAGATCAATGTTTTCTCTGGGATGGCTGTATTCCATCACATTCTGCCCTGTATCCTCCATTACTGTTCTGAGGAACTCTTGAAGACTCGACTTGATAATCTCAAAAGAGTTAATTATTGCATTGAGTGGAGTTCTGAACTCATGACTCGCACTTGCAAACATGATCTTCTGCATTTTGATTCTGTTCTTGGCTTGTTCGAGATTGATGATGTCAGTTGTGTCAATGAAGACATGCATGACAGAAGGAACCCCCTTCCATTCAATTTTAAGAGACTTGATGTTAAAATTCCTGTTAACATGCTTTCTTTTATCATGCTGATTGTTAAAAATATCTTTAGAACTTTCTGAGTCGCTAGAAAACTAATAAGTTTGAATCAATGAAAAGTATATTCAAAATATATCTAATATACAGTTAGTTATCAAGATTCGTCTTACTTGTTTAGAAATTGCAATCACTTTATGACTAAATCTCTCTTTACTGAATCTTGTCCATTCTGTTCAAAGTCCTCAGAATCTCTTAAATACTGAAGAAGTGATTGGATTTCTTGTTGAGCATCTGGAATTTGATCATTCTTTTTAAATGAAACCTCAACATCGTCTAACTCTTTCATTACCTGGTTCAAAGCCTTTATTTTATGTTCAAATTGATCATTAGAGTATCATTTGAAATCTTCAGATATTTCTTGAGGAAGAATCAAAACTGGATGAGGGAACTGTTGAACAACCTTCTGCTTTTCCTTAGCCAACTTATCATTCTCAAGAATCATTTGGTACATTTGTGAGAGTCTGGTCTGGTTGGTTTCAAGTCCAAGGAAAAAGATTCCGACTGAGAACACTGCTGAAGAAAAGTGCTCTACATCTATTTCCCCTAGTTTGTACATTCCGATGAAAAATTGCATAAATACAGTAACACCAAAGATCATGCAGGTGATATGCCGTTTAGAAGGAGTCAAAGTGGCAAGGTAAAAATGATAAGTATACATGCATGGAAACCCAATACTGATGAGACCTTTATGCTCCACTTGAAATGTCAAATGGATCATAAAATATGCAATTCCATTAAATCATAAGATCCCGACTTGGAGGTTCTCTGGTGTTATTGAAATATGCTTCTCTACAAAATAAAACGCAACAGATGCTCCAATTCATATGATAATCGTTGTTAATTGTTGTATTTCCATATTCACTAATAACAGCTATTAGTCAACAGGGTTAGTCTTACCATGAGGATTGTGGTTCAAAAGATGTTACGCAGTAAAACCTTGCATGACTATATCACAGTATCATAATAGAGAAATTGTGATTGAGCCAGATCACACATATGATAAATAAGTAATTCTAAGATTTATGAGTAATGCTAACTATCCCTCAATCTCAAATCTAGATGGAATAATTGAGTGAAATAGTAACTCTTCTTTAATAAATTAATGATTGAAAAATACCAGCCTTTAAAGGCCAAATTATCAGACATCGAATAGCTCTCTTTGAGGCTAAAATGATCTTACTATGGTCTTTGCTGCTTTTAGTAAGATTTATTTACCCATAAACTGAGGAGTTAACCTTATTGATAACCATATATTTAATATCTAATGACCAGCTTTTGAATAAAAAGTGGAAGAATATGAATTATTCATTGCCTCCATAAATCAATAGAGAAACTTTAACCAACAGAAGTGCTTATGGAGGTAATAAATAGCCAACAAATTTCGCCAGAACTTTTCCAAAAATGGAAGATTGCCATCATCGTAATTTATTTGTTTTCAAAACTTCCTCTAATATTAATATTCTAAGGATCATCTGTTCTTGCCTGATAAAGGAATGAGAAAACTCAAGAGGCTTATGCATGGTTTAAGAAACTTTAAATACTAATTCATGGCAAATAATAAACTCGAACGATGTGTTACCTTCTTAATAAAGTCCATAGAAGGGCTGGTGAGATGATCTATGCCACCTAGAAGTCAGTCAGGCTCTTACTCTTAGGGATCTTGCTTTCTAGTTCTACAAATTCAGCATCTCTGCGGCTAGAAGCATGCAAGAATGCTAATATCCTGTGGATAGTCGGGAATTCTGAAGGGATCAGATAATTCATATTTGTATAAATTATTAATATTATCAAATAAGAGCCTCGGGGTTTTGGGGTTTTGGGGTTTTGGGGTTTTGGGG